ATGATGGTGAAGGAAATAGTGGCAGTTGGGCATACTCTGCCCTTTATATCCTTGGAACAGCAGGAGGACACTCAGGGTGCATGTGCATCCCCACTGGACAGTGCTGGCCAAAAGACTAAGACTCCGATCTCAACCACATGGGCACCAAGAGTGACTATAGATTGACAGTAGCTTTCAAACTCCAGTTACTGTAAGGCAAGTAACTTTTTTCTTTTTGTGGCCACCATCTTCTTTCTAGGGATCACCATTTTTCCCCATTAAAACTATCCCTCGTCCAGCAGCTTTGTTTCTGTTTAGGGCTTGTCTACACAAGGACACTCACAAAAGTTAAGATGAATCAACTAAAGATATGAAATTAAAGTGCATAAATTAAAGCATGTTAAACCTGGGTGGACTCTTCTTAAGTGAGGATTAAGCTACAGTGAACTACGGCCATTTTACTTCTGAATGAGTGACCACATAGGGGTTTAATACCTTTTAAACTAATGCTTGTGAACTTCACATCTTCAGTTGATTTTTCTTCACTTCCCTGAGTGTCCCCATGCAGACAAACCCTTAGTCTCTCCACTTTGGCCAATATGAATCGCAGTATTGGCCTCAATATCTCACTCATACAACTAATTATAACTTTTCTTTGACAATGCTGTGCGTTTCTTACCTCACTATGATCTGTTCCCTTCAGGAACCCATATGGCTTATTGACATGGAAATCCTGATGAATTAGTGTGGAATGTTTCAATTTTATTCAATACATTCTTTTACTAGAATGCTGCAAGAAGATCCTGTTTTGTTTCAGCTTTATAAAGACCTCGTTGTGAGCCAAGTAATTAGTGCTGAAGAATTCTGGGCCAACCGTTTAAGCTTGAATGCTGTGGATAATTCTGTGGCACCTAGTAAGCAGGATGTGGGCATCTCTGCAGCTTTTCTGGTATGTTTGACCTACATAACATAGGAAGGATTTTAAAACAAACACATTTATTTCTTGGCTAGACTTTCTCTGTAAAATGTGGATAAATTAAAATTTAAATTTTACCCTAAATACAATTGCTTTGAAATCTTTTTCTACCTAATGAAATACAAAAAAAAACAAAAAAAACCCTGACCTGAGCTTTAATATGTGTGTGGGGGGGAGGGGGGGGTTAAGTGAAATTCCCCACTTTTAAACAGGAGTATTCATTATCTTTCCATAGTCTCAGAAGTTAAGCTAATCTCCTTGTCAGTGCAGCATTGTTCTCTGCATATGCCCTAAAGTGTTCTGTCTGGTCTATTTATAAATGTCATGAGAAAGGAGGTTTCCTCTATTTCCTGTTACAATTCCATATTCTGCTATACCTCCATCTGAAAGATTTTCCTGATAACTAACCTAAATTTTCCCCTTCAATTTCATTCTTTTACTCCTTGTATGATACTTCCTCTGTCCTTTTTCTTTATACCTTCAGATATTTATAGGCTATCATCCACCCTCTCCTTAATCTTTTTAGTCAAGAAATATGTGTATTCAGTCCTTTTAATATTTATTGATAAATCATTCTTCCCACTTGAAAAGACAATTTTGTAGTGAAAGACATTTGCTGTGAGCAAATAAATTAGTGTCCTTAAGAGACGATCAAAGCTGCTCTTCATTTTGTACTGTGGCTTAAAAAAAAAAAATCTATCCACTCTGCTACTTTTGTTTTTGTTTATATAGGTTAATTCTCTGACAACTGTCTTAAATGTGGGTTCACACATCAGTTTTAACAAGGTTTTAACTCAACACATAACAAGGTTTTACCCAGTTTGACAATATTCTTATGTTATTCCCGTAGGCTGATGTTCGGCCTCAAACGGATGGTTGCAATGGTCTGAGGTATAACTTAACTTCAGACATTATTGAATCCATATTCAGGACGTATCCTGCAGGTAGGCAGAAAAATCAATACATATGTGATAAAATCAACTTAGAGTGCTTTGTATTATGTTTGATCATTAGAAGACCAGAGGGTTAGTCCTACACTTGTTTCTGTTGGTAAAATGTGCAGGGCTTTTAAACATTCCCTCATACTCTCTTCTGCACTTCTTATATGGTCTTACTTCCTTACTTCAGTGTTGGTTTTTTTGTAGGGTCTGGAAATATTTTAAGTAAACTGTGATTAATCAACAGCCCAACTCATGCGATTAACTCAAATTAATCGCGATTAAAAATAATCACAGTTAATCGCAGTTTAATCGCACTGTTAAACAATAGAATACCAATTGAAATTTATTAAATATTTTTGGATTTTTTTCTACATTTTCAAATATATTGATTTCAATTACAACACAGTCTACAAAGTAGACAGTACTCACTTTGTTTTTATTACAAATATTTGCACTGTAAAAATGGCAAACGATAGTATTTTTCAGTTCACTTCATACAAGTACTGTAGTGCAATCTCTTTATCGTGAAAGCGCCACTTACAAAATTAGATTTTGTTTTGTTACATAACTGCACTCAAAAACAAAATGTAAAACTGTAGAACCTACAAGTCCACTCAATCCTACTTCTTGTTCAGCCAATCACTAAAACAAACAAGTTTGTTTACATTTACAGGAGATAATGCTGCCTGCTTCTTATTTACAATGTCACCGGAAAGTGAGAACGGGTATTCGCATGGCACTTTTGCAATGCTGGCTACAAGGTATATCTCTACCTCGATATAACGCTGTCCTTGGGAGCCAAAAACTCTTACTGCATTATAGGTGAAACCGCATTCTATCGAACTTGCTTTGATCCGCTGGAGTGCACAGCCCCCCTCCCCCCGGAGCACTGCTTTACCATGTTATATCAGAATTCGTGTTGTATCGAGTCGCGTTATATCGGGGTAGACGTGTATTTACATGCCAGATATGCTAAACATTCATATGTGCCTTCATGCTTTGGCCACCATTCCAGAGTACATGCTGATGATGCTCATTAAAAAAATAATGCATTAAATAAATTTGTGGCTGAACTCCTTGGGGGAGAATTGTATGTCTCCTGTTTTGTTTTACTCGCATTCTGCCATATATTTCATGTAATAGCAATCTTAGATAATGACCCAGCACAAGTTGTTTGTTTTAAGAACATTTCCACTGCAGATTTGACAAAACTCAAAGAAGGTACCAATGTGAGACTTCTAAAGATGGCTACAGCACTTGACCCAAGGGTTAAGAATCTGAAGTGCCTTCCAAAATCTGAGACGGACGAGGTGTGGAGCATGCTTTCAGAAGTCTTAAAAGAGCAACACTTCGATGCAAAAATTACAGAACCCGAACCACCAAAAAAGAAAATCAACCTTCTGCTGGTGGCATTTGACTCAGATGTTGAAAATGAACATGCATTGGTCCTCACTGCTTTGGATGGTTATCGAGCAGAACCCATTATCAGCATGGACGCATGTCCTCTGGAATGGTGGTTGAAGCATGAAGAGACATATGAATCTTTCGTGTATCTGACACAAATATCTTGCAATGCCGGCTAAAAGAGTACCATATGAACACCTGTTCTCACTTTCAGGTGATATTGTAAACAAGAAGCGGGTAGCATTATCTCCTGCAAATGTAAATAAACTTGTTTGTCTGAGCGATCGGCTGAATAAGAAATAGAACTGAGTGGACTTGTAGGCTCTAAAGTTTTACATTGTTTTATTTTTGAATGCAGTTATTTTTTTTGTACGTTCAACATCCATGATAGACATTTCATTACAGTACTTGTATTAGGTGAATTGAAAAATACAATTTTTTTTTTGGCAGTGCAAATATTTGTAATAAAAAATATAAAGTGAGCACTGTACACTTTGTATTCAGAGTTGTAATTGAAATCAATATATTTGAAAAATATAGAAAATATCCGACATGATTTAAACAGTATTCTATTGTTTAAGAGTGCGATTAATCATGTGATTAATTTTTAATCATGCAATTAATCACGATTAACTTTAATCGTTTGACAACCCTAATTTTAAGCTTGAGGTTGAAAAGACTCTTGAATTACTCAGTTTGCTTTGCCTTTAAGACATGAGTTAATGTTCATGCCCAAGTGTCACTCTCCATTTGAAGGATTTATTTTAACTACTCTAAAATTTTCTAATGAGAGATTGTTGGTAAATTCTGATTTACAAATGCTAGATTGGACCCTGATACTGACATTAGTTTGATCAGTCCTGGATGAAAAAGAACCAGTCCATCTTGGGAACAATATGGAAGGATTCCTCTTAAATTACTAGACTTCTGACATTTAAAATTTTCCAGAGGTGCCCAGCTATACCATTTTCAAAGTTTATATGCTATTGGTGTTTGTTTCCAATATGTTAGAAGCATTGTTGGGCATGACAGAACTTCCATTTGTTGCATAAATTGCCATCTCTTTTTAATACTAAAAAGATATGGAGTTTGGATAAGTTGCATGTGTTTATGCTTATTCAACATAAGCTTAGGTCGTTTTCCATCACATGCTGACAGGTAAAACAGTATCTTGAATTGCAAAATAGCTTATAAGCACTTTGGTTTGTTTTGCAGTAAAAGTGAAATATGCAGAAAATGTTCCACATAATATGACAGAAAAAGAATTCTGGACACGATTTTTCCAGTCTCACTACTTCCATCGAGATAGGCTAAATACAGGCTCAAAAGACCTCTTTGCAGAATGTGCCAAAATGGATGAAAAAGGTAAGCTTTTCTTTCTCTGCAACAGGTGATTGTGGTGTTAGCTTTATTTTTTTAATTAATGTTGAAGTTTCAGTATACTGTGGCTAAGTTTTTGAAAGCCACATTAATCAGATAAAACCAGCATTCTCATTTTTAAAAATAATATATTTGTCCTGTTATTTGATAAATGCTGCAAGATGTCAGGAGCCAAGACCGATGATGTAATCTTTGGATAGTGTTGATCAGGCTGAATGTTTATATATTTACAGTATCTGATTATGGAAGACATTTCAGGTGCCATACTAAAATGCTTAGAAACAAATTAGTGCTTAAAAGATGCCGGCACTAGAAACGTCCTTTTTTGCACAACTCATGCAGCATGAATGTCAGTGAAAGCTTCCTCAGAATGTACCAAGGAGCCTTAACCGTACCTCTGATAGTAGGGCATAGTTTTGTTCACATGACTACTTATTCTGTGATGTCTCTGCTGAGACTCTCAACAGATGTGGGTTTTGTGATAAATCAATTCTCTAGAAAGTGGATAAAGATTGGTTTCTTTTATTGACCATCACTGTTTTGGACCATATTTGAAACAATGACCTAGAGATGAAAGGCTTAAAAGTTATATTCTGAAAATGTCATCTTCTCTTGATGTATGTGTATAATCCATGAATGATACACACATATATGGAGAGAAGACTAGATCCTGAATATTGAATGCTTTTCATTCTGATAGTGTCCTTTATCTGACAATCCCAAAGCAAAAACTAACAAAAAGCCATACATCATCAGATGGGTGAAGTGATGCATAGAAAGGTTAACTGTTTTATCCAAGATCACACAGCAAGACAGTGGCAGAACTGGAAATAGAGCATGGGAGTTATGGCTTCCAGTTCCCTGTTCTAACCCCTAGTTAATATTACACTATCTACTTGAAAATTAAATATAATAGCCTATATTGAACGCAGTACCATTGATGAATTACTAGAAAATGTTTAGAATTGGGGGCGGGGGGCGCGCATGAGGAAGTATCTGGAACTAGTTAGAATAATTCCTGTAATAATTTTCAAAAATACAGAGCAAAAGACTGACTTTAATGATAGATGCTGTAAAGGGCTGAAAGTTACTGCACATAATAGCACTTGGACACATGCAAAACCTTCTGAACTACCCTTTTTCCCAGCCATGGAACATATTCAGAGGATTAAAAAAAAAAAATCATTGTACTTTTTAGAAATACCTGTGTTATAAAATAGATACAGCCTTGGTTTTTTGATACCTGTAAGTGTTAAGTTCACTGGTTCCTGCAAACCCATATAATCCAAAATGTACCAAATATCTTACATGTTGGTTGTTTAAACTACAAATTCAAGTTTAGCAACAGCTAGTGCTGTTTTAGAAATAAATTTCCTGCACGTCTATTGGTGTCTAATAGTAATTTAGTACTATGTTGTGTAAGAAAATTATGGAATCATATTAAGGTACTGAAGTCCAGATAACTTTGAGGCTTACACTTTATCAACCCTGAGTGTCGACAGATATTCTCGTTTAGATACTACTTTGCAAGAAAACATTTTTTTTTTCTCATAGGGTTAAAAACAATGGTGTCTCAAGGGGTGAAAAATCCACTGCTAGATTTAACGGCCTTGGAGGATAAATCGTTAGATGAGGCAAGTACAGAGACTGTAAAACAAAAATGTAAGAGTTTCTACATTTTAAAACTGAATCACCTTATTAGCTTGAGAAAGGACCACAAACAATACTAAAATACAACTTTCCACTGAACAACTTCTGGTGCCCCAATGCTAATTTGTCACTGAATTTCTCCTCTTTGTGTTGATGTTCTGGGTCTGATTCTAATCACATCAGTTCTACACCAGTATACCTGCATAGAGTTACTTCTGATATACATTGGGGTAGGTGGATGGAGAATCAGAACTTGTATTCTCAGTCTGTGTGCTATGATTTCCCCTCCCCCCCCCCCCCCCTATGGCGCTGCATTACCTCACCTGGCTTCCTAAGCACACTGGTATAAAATCTAACTTTGCTTCTAGAAGCATTCTTGTACAGCTTTTTCATTTTAAAATAAATCTCTCCTTATTTAATCCTTACCATTTAGAGGCTACCTGGCATTGGTAAATAGGAATCCTACAATACAGAAGATTGAGTTCAAAGTGAAGATAAATATAAAAGTTACCACATTTTTGGTCGAACTTATTTATTTAAAATGAAGTTAAAACAACATTTCTTCATATCAATTTAAAATATTAAATACCAAATAGTTTGCACCACACACAGCATCAGACATGTTTGACAGCTCCAAAGATACCATTGACTTAATGGTTAGAAAAGAAGAATTAGTAGCTAAAATCAGAGTGCAAATTAGTACAACTTTATATTGTTTTACAGGGATATAAGCTGTATCTCTAAGCACTTAATAAAATTTAAAACAAGATGACAGATTTGGTGAATGACATTCCTATTCATTTGTTTACTACTGAAAACTTAATAGTCCTTGGCCTGCTGGATTTCTATAAACTTCTATAAGAATTTGGTAATTGCAGCTAACAGTTTGAAAATAAAGAATTAGCATTTATACAGAGGCTTACATGTTCAAAGTGCAAAACCAACATTAATCCTCTCAACATCCCTCTGAGGTTGGGAAGTACTATGCCCAGTGTACAAATGGGGAAACTAAGGCCGAGAGGTCACACTGCACGTAAGCAATAGAGCCAGCATTAGGACCCTGAGGACTCCCAATACTATGTATATTCCTCTAGACCACACTGCAATGCTGTTCATTCAGTAAAGCCCAGAAAATGGGAAATGCAGAATCACTGCTACATATCTGATCTAATGGAAAATAGGGAATGGTCTCACTTTTTAGACTCATAGGGCTGGTCCAAACTAACCCCCCAGTTCGAACTAAGATACGCAACTTCAGCTACGTGAATAATGTAGCTGAAGTCAAAGTATCTTAGTTCAAACTACAAGGTACTTACCGCGGGTCCACACGCGGCAGGCAGGCTCCCCCGTCGACTCCGCGTACTCCTCTCGCGGAGCAGGAGTACCAGTGTCAACGGCGAGCACTTCCGGGATCGATTTATCGCGTCTAGACAAGACGCGATAAATCGATCCCAGAAGATCGATTGCTTACTGCTGAACCCAGAGGTAAGTATCGACGTACCCATAGACTTGAAGGACAGAAGGGACCAACATGAACATCTAGTTTGACCTCCTGCACATTGCAGACAACAGAACCTCACCCACCCACTCCTGTAATAGACCCCTAACCTCTGGTTGAGTTACTGAAGACCTCAAATCGTGGCTTAAAGACTTCAAGTTAGAGAATCCACCATTTACATTAGTTTAAACCTGCAAGTGACCCATGCCTCATGCTGCATTTAGTTTGGAATAACCTAACAAACTGTTAATTACTTTACTTGCAGGGTTATGGTGTTTCCTCTGTGCCATCCACATCAAACTCCTCAAAGTCCTTAAAGGAGAGTAGCAATGCTGCCATTATAAAACGCTTTAATCATCACAGTGCCATGGTCCTTGCAGCTGGGCTCAGAAAACAGTAAGTTTCAGCACAGGAAGAAGCTCTCAGAGCTGGCGAATAACTCAAACTTGAAAACTTTACAAGTGTTATCTTGAAGCCTGTGGAATATTATGATCTAAACACAAATCTGATCATGTGGATTCCATTTTTTACTTTTAAAATTCCTTTCAATGTATAAGGTCATGCCAACCACCAAAATTAAAGACGTGTTATTTTTGCACGAGGTGGTGTAAAATATTGCAGGCTGGAAATACCTTCCTGTATTCCTCTTCTGTACTGTATCTCTGGATTTTTTTCATGTTTTATAAAAAAAAAAAAGTGCCTTGACTGATTCACTTTAGAGAATATTTGACAACCTCATCCAAACTATAGCCTAAATTAAGGCCTAGGAGGCCATGAGTGCAGTGAAATTGGTCCAATTTTTGCCATGCCGAGGGATAGATTGGGCAGGTGGTATGAACTGCATGTGAGGTCCTTGCATCCAACCATTGAGCATAGCTCTGTAGGGGCTTCTTATACTGCAGTGTTCAGGAGGGAGGGGACAGAAGAGCCAGGGCAATTGGGTCTACTAATGCAGATCCACGAGCCAAACCTTAGAGAGGCGAGGTGGCTGTTACAAGTCTGTTGCAGTAGTAGCTGCTGTGCAGCCCAGGAAGGATTTCTTCTCCACCTGAGTCCTGCAAAACTCACCCACCTATAGTCCACTTATCCAATCTGTTCTTTAGGAGGACATTTTTTCCCCTTAGTGCTTCTATATTTGCTCATATGATGTATTTGTGTTTTCATTTAAATAGAACACTGTACCTTAATAAGCCTTTCTGGTAGGAAACATTCCATCCCCCAAAACTTAGATTGCTCCTTTCTACAAAATGCACAAACTGGATGTTAAAGCACCTTTACTTTCCCGTCCTTCTGTGTGGGAGTACTTCCTCTTGTATGCACACAGCAGTGATCATGATCAGAGTGCCAGTTAGAGAGAATAGCAACTCTCATACTGGGAATGTAGAATGCCCAGCACTCCCACACTCCAGACAAGTTTGTGTGGAGGTGGCAGTGTGGTGTTGGGCAAGACTTCTTCAATGTGATACTACAGACGATGATGGAGGCAGTGGATGCAAAGCTTAGAGAAGAACAGGATTGAGGCCCAAGAGAGCCTATGTAGAGCAGATATTTGCACTAAGTACTCTCATAGAAGAATGTATAAAATGGCAAGCTGCCCTCCTTACCTATTTCATTGATTTTTCAAAAGGCATTTGACAACCTGCACAGACATACATCGTGAATATTCTTCAGTCCTATTGCATCCCAGCTAAAGTTGTCAATATCATCAAGGCCATGTACAGAGATAGGAAGTGTTCTAAGGGGGAACAACCAGACAAGAGTGGTTTAACATGGAGAGTAGCACGAAATGAGGGCCGCCTTTTATCACTGCTGCTCTTTGGCATTGTCATAGACTGGATAACAGAGTATTAGCAATACAAAATAGCATGGATAGATGGCAAATACCTAGAAAGCCTAGATTTTGCGGCTGCTAATATTGCTGTACTGAACAACACCCCTGAAAAGTTAAACAAAGACAACCTGGCAAATACAGCATGCCAAGCAGCACTCAAAACAGACATCTGCTAAAACAAACATACTGGAAACCCAGACATCAAACAGTAACATCACATTTTGAAGGCAAAAAACATCAAGAAAGTAGAATAGTTCACCTACCTGGGCAGCACCATCATGGCCAACAGAGACATCAAGAAGGAAGTGACATCAAGGATAGGAAAGGCATTCAGAGCATTTATTAAACTTAATGTATGGAAATCTAAGATACCCAGAACAAAACTGAGGATTTTCAATTCAAACAATCTCAGTGCTAACACATGGCCTCGAGAACTGGAAATCCATCAAAATGTTAGACAGAAAACTAGACCCCTTTGAAAATAAGTGCCTATGACAGATCCTGGGTATTTGGTTGGAAATACTTGTTTACAGGTGACGAGATTTGAGAGATCAGCCACTCATCCCCACCAGAATCAGAAGAAATAGCTGTGCTCCGGAAACTAACATGGACTCCCACATGAAGCTGTTAAGTAGAAACTATCTGGTATGAGGAAACAAGGGTGTCCAAGAGAAACCTTAAGAAAAACACTTAGCAGGAAAGACAGACCAGTAGATCTCAACACCATAGAGCAGAGGGAAGCAGCAGCAAATGACAGTAGTTATTACCCCGTGTGCCAACATTGGCACGGGAATGATGTGATGTAACTGCATTAACAGTAGCACACAACGTGTGTGACTTAAGTTTTAGTTGGCAAGAGGACTGCTTCACAGCACTATGGTCCTGTTACCTCCCTGTCTATGTCAGGAGTACACTATTTTTTTCTTTGTGCAGAGATGAGGAATCGTATCCCCATTGCCTGTCATGAACAAAATACTGACCCTTTTTAGAGTGACACCCATAGGTCAGTCATTTAAGTGCAGACCTTTTTGAAAGAAATAATTTGGAATTAAATATTTTGAAACAGATTAACCTACTACATGTCTTCAGTCTAAATGTCAGTCTCCCAAAAGATGACTTATTGTTCACTTCCTTTTAATACTGTCTTTTATTTTAAGAGAAGCACAAAATGATCACTACAGTGAGACCAGCAGTATGGATGGAAACTCCAGGGATTCAGATTTCTTTCAGCCACCAATAAAAAAGGTATGAAAAATGTGAGTTTGCCACTGCAATTCCAGTTGAAGTATAGTACTGCAAACAGCTGCATTAAGCATCATCTACTTAAATGTATGAAGAGTGATATGAATGTAAAGTATTAATTAAATACAACAGCCTTAAGATGAACATGCTGTTGACAAAGAGCTCTTTAGTTATTTAAATGCAAATAACTTTAATTGATAATACAATCTTCCTGTTGATTTTTTTTTTTCTTTCACTGAGTGAACATTGACATTTTTCCCCATATCTTTCTAATGGATCTTAAAATGCATGTTCTGTTCTTTGTGTGTGGTTATATTTATGTATTACCACTGTAAGTGCCTGAGCACTTTAGGAAAATATCCAGGCAAAGAATTAAGATAATAGTAGTTGCAACCACGGCATGGAATCAATATATTGAATACATTGGGGAAGGAATGCACACTTATTAGTAAGCAGAATGCTGATTTGATACTTCAACTTAAAGGGTTGACCTTGCATCAGAATCATCGTGCTCAACTGAAAATGAGTGTCAGATTTGATTGATTATTGGTGCACAAAAATGAGGCAACTATAGTGTTTCTCTTAGATTACTGGAATTATGTAAAAATTGCTAAGAAAATAAAATGTTTTGAATGACTGTAGTGCAATCCAAAAAGCTAAGAGAGGGGGGAACTCCACTAACTTTTAACCTTTGCACATACACTTCCCCTAGCCCCCAAAAATTACTTGAAATCCACACAAGTAGCAAATAGTTTTTAGAAAATACCCATTGTAGCTTTTGGGGCAGTCACTAGCTCTGACTTCACTGTATGGTGCAGCTTTCAGTGAGAATGAACAACAGAACAGGACTAAAGGAAAATCTCTCTACACTTAATGGATGAAGAAAGCAAGAGATCTCCAAAGCAGTTTTCATTTAATTTTCATTGTATCATATTTAAGTATGCTACTGTTAATGCTCCTTAATATTTTCTACCACAAATGAATACCTTATTTAGCAACATATCTGAACTAGCTCTAGGTTTAAATTCCTGCACTAAAAAAACATTAACCCTGTTCCTTCCTCTTGTATTAAGTAACACATGCACATAAACATGGACTACAAAAGGGTTGTTTATGTATGTGTGCGCTTTTTTTTTTAAATGAGGTGGCTCTGATTATATAAAAAAAAAAAACCTGGTCAGGATCTGCAGAAAAAGTAGTAAAGGCCACTAGTACTAAAACAAGTGTGTGAAAATGTTTTTTAAAAAAGGGAGGGTGGCGTGGAGCTTGGCACGTGGGATTTCAGTAGAGTATTTACCTAAATATGGCTTCAGTCATGTTTTTCCTGTTCATATATTCGTAGAGCAAGTGAGTTTTACTGTGACTTCCTTCAAAACTGGCAGACACTAGGTTCTTTGACAAGTTTCTGCTTTTATTAAAATTTCTCAAATGCCATTTAAAAAATTATTTCTGTAACAGGGCCAACAGCCTGCCATGGAAGGAAGACCTGTGTATATGGCGGTAATCCTCTTGTGAGATAGAGAAAATACCGCAGCTCCCCCTATGCCATGGCAAATAGTATAGGGATCTTGTGGCCGTCACAGCCAGTGTCACTGAGAACTGTGCTAGGCGGCCAAAGCCACCTCTCCTCCCAACCTATGCTGGTGATGCACTGCCAGAGCAGAGGATCTGAGCCACTTGGGCTTTTTTTCATTTATCTTGTTTTTTTTCCATTCTCTTCCCAGGAAACAAGGGACAAGGAAAAAAGTACAGTCTACGTATGTGCAACTATATCATAAGTAATTAGTTTTGATTTGTGTCTCATATCGCAGGTGAAGCTACAGGAGGCTATTGAATATGAAGATTTAGGAAAGAATAATAGCATTAAAACTATTGCACTAAACCTAAAGAAATCTGATCGGTAAGTTCAATGAATAAAAGAAAACTGCAGTTCTTTGGATGTTTCAACATATTAAAACTAATATCAATCTCTTTATGATCTATTCAGAATCAATCTGTCCCTAATCTGCTTTGTATTTTACATGGCATTTGAGTGCTTCTAGATTAAAATTTAATTAATCTGAAACCTTGTTTAAACAAATTTAAGTAGTTACCATTTGCAAAACTGTATCTTTAGTTCATAATAACTTTTGTGAATTTAGTAAACCTATTACAAACTATTGCTAGAAGAGATCCATAATTTTAGTCTGAGTACGAAAGCCTAACAAATTTACTTTATTAATGTAGTTTGAGACATCTTATCAGCATTTCTGTTGGTATGATGCATTTGGAAATATTTGCACACTCTGCACAGACACAGATCTTACTTGGGTGTTGACTTGGGACAATTCTCAATGGTTTGATTCACTTCTTTTGTGATGTGCTTCCCTTTTGTCTTCCAGAACCTAACCTTTCAGTTTGAAAAATGTTATATCTCTTGTCCTGACAGTTGCAAAGATATCCTTCCAAATGTGAACCAGTGGTGTAGTGGTGTTTGTCAAATACTAGTCCTGAGAGGTGGGACTTGCCCCATTCATCTGGAGTCTGACTAAGTGACAGTACTGCCAGTGCTGAGCAAAGCATAAAAGGGGTGATGACATTAAGGCCAGGTCTATGCTACAGACCTGTGTCAGTATGACTACATCACTCAGGTTTGAAAAATCCACTGCCCTGAGTGATATAGTCATACCAACCTTAACAACCTCCCCACCCCCACCCCCACCCCCCATGTAGACAGCGCTTTGTCAACGGGAGAGCTTCTCCTGTCAACATACACCTCTACCCTGATATAACGCAAATTCGGATATGATGCGGTAAAGCAGCACTCCGGGGGGGGGGGGCTGCTTTACTTCGTTATATCCGAATTCGTGTTACCGCAAGCGGTTCCTCTGCGCTCCCCTCTTACTTGCTGCGGCCCCCGCCCCAGCTCACCTCCGCCTCCTCCCACGAGTGCGCTGCAGCTCCGCTTCTCCTCCCTCCCTCCTGGGCTTGCGGCGCCAATGCTGTTTGGCGCGGCAAGCCTAGAAGGGAGGGACGGGGGGAGAAGCAGTGCAGTGGGGGCGTGCTTAGGGGAGGAGGCGGAGGCAGAGCGGAGGTGAGCTGGGGCGAGGAGCAGTTCCTCTCTCTACCCAGATATAACGCGGTCTCACCTATAACATGGTAAGATTTTTGGCTCCCGAAGACCGCGTTATATCAGAGTAGAGGTGTAGCTACTGCCTCTCACAGAGGTGGATTAACTACGCTGACAGGAGAGCTCTGTAGCTGTGCCAATGCAGCATAGACCTGCCCTAAGATCTGCATAACAAAAAATCAAGAATGGCCTGTCCCTTCTCATTTTGCTGTCACATATGGGAAAAACTTAGGTTGCAGGTGGAATTTGAAAGCTTACAGTTACATTTTTATTTTATTTTTTACATTTCCAATCAGACCCCTGATTTATTTAAGTTTTAATAGAGGCCAAAAGCCAAATTTGTACTGCACCTAAAATCTGAGAGGTGCAACTGCTACATTACATAAATCTTAGTCTACTGGGAATTAAGTTACCTTGTGTTTTTTTGTTTTGTTTTTCCCCTTTCTCTTCCCATAGGTATTATCATGGTCCAACTCCAATTCAATCACAGCAATATGCAACCAGTCAGGATATTATTAATTCTTTTCATAGTATTAGAGAAGAAATGGAAGCCTATATACCCAGACTAACTCAGGTAGGAAAATTCATTTTAATTTAAATACAGAAAAGTAAAACTCCCTCCTTAATACTAGTCCAGATATTCCTTGACTTACTAGAATTATGGTACTTGCACAGTTTTGTCCCTCAAGGTGAACCTGATACTTTTCCTCTTAAATTGCATAATGTGGGAAACTGTTTTAGAAGAAGTCTTCAGTCAGAACAACACTTACTTAAGTTGCAGAGCAGTGTTTTAGCCATACCACTTCAGCTGTTCTCTGAAGTTGTAATATTAAGACCAGTAACTACCAGATTTGCTGATACTGATGGACAAATCCTACAGCACTCTCATACCTGTGAGGAAGCTCCAAATGTAGTGGAATCAGCATCCCTGTACTGTACAGGGTAGAACAAAGCCACACACTGGGACGTAGCTCCACCAGGTGAAGGTGAAGCTATTTCTGGTGGCCTTTATCTCAGACACAAGGAGGGGAGGAGTCAATGGCAATACAAGGTCACAGCCAGTGGTTTGTGACTAAGTGAATCAGTAGGACACAGGTCCTATTACATCTCTGAGGTTATCAAATGGCTGCCTGTGTGCTGTGCCCTCAGGTTCGCTGGGGCAGCTGGTTCTCGTAACCTCCCTTGCATTCAGAAAATTTTATATTTGGCCCTTATTAAATTACCACAATTGTTTGTGCCTCACCGTTCTACTAAAGTCATGAGGACCAGTGAAAATTTTCTTTTAATTGTTATATTGCCTTATTAAAAATTTGTGTGTAAGTCAAGATCACTCAATACATGCACCAGTTCGGCAATATCATGTGCATGTTAAGAACCCACACTATAGACATCAATTTGAGAGTAATACTAGTAGACAGATGCTGTCTGTTCCCATCATGGTTTCTGGAACTTCCAAAGGCAACATGAGTTAATGCTTAGTAGAACTACATGTCCAATTCCCTCTCGCATCAATGGGGAGATTACTTTTATACTTCCAAAATTATTTCAATCTAAAATCACTAACTAACGTCCTGATTGATATGTCTGAGCCAGTGCAATTCACACTTTTCTTTAACTTCATTTGTCCAAGATGTTTTAAAGCGAGTCACTGGGGAAAATGATATGAAAGGACTTTGGTTTTTTTTAAGGTTCTTTCCAGTGGTGCTGCTACTAGCAGCATCACAGCCCTGTCACCTGGAGGAGCACTTATGCAAGGTGGGACACAGCAAGCCATAAACCGTAAGTTTTTACGTAGTATGTTATCGTTCAGCCGTATAGACTATACCAACAACACGGTGGGGGCTCTGGCTTTTTTATTTTTGGCTACAACAGATTATGCTGACAAAGCAAATGCAGAGACATTCATCTAAAATACAGTTGCAAAGTATAAAAGTTATCAGGTGGAAGTGACAAAGGAAAAATTCTGAAAGAAACTAGCAATCCAGTCTGCCCAATAAGGAGGCAGTGGTGGCTCTGGTGCTGAGGTAAATGGAATTAAGATAGCTAGGAGCAAATAAAGTCGGACTGACTCACAGAATATTAAGTTATTTAAAGGTAAGACCATTTTACTCCTCCACTAAAAGCCCTGTCTAGCTGCTTCCAACCTGTTGCCACCATTTTGAGCAGATAGGGTGAGGCCCAAGTGGCCATTCTGTTCAGTTGAGGACAGCCAGTAAGACCTTAGCTACACTGCCACTTTACAGTGCTGCAACTTTCTCGCTCGGGGGTGTGAAAAAATATCCCCCTGAGCGTTGCAAGTTTCAGCTCTGTAAAGTGACAGTGTGGACAGTGCACCAGCGCTGGAAGCCGCACTCCCAGCCCTGGTAGCTACTCCCCTCGTGGGGGTGGGTTTTACAGCGCTGGGAGAGCTGTCTCCCAGCACTGGTGCCACGACTACACAGCCATGTTAAAGTGCTGCCATGTTGCTAGTGAAGACATACCCTAAGCCTACTTTCTCCTCCAGTCTCTCTGCTCACACTTAGGTGCTTTCATCTCTATACCTACTTTGTGTATTCTCCTCCCCCTTCTCTCTCCCCCTTCTGGCTTTCTGCAGTGGTAGCAGTGAGGAACCACCGGAGAGAAGAGGTAGCAGCAGCAGTCCAGCTGCCAGGTGTAAACAAATGAAAGTTCTGAAGCCTTGAGTTAAGGGCTAAAACTCAACACTCCCTGGCCTTGGAGTGTAAAAGCGGAGGGGTAGCTTCTTGGCTCTTATGTTTTCTCTGCCATTTACAAAATAAAATTTCATTTATTCTAGGGGAACAAGCCTTAGATTTGATTTGGAAACAGATTTTGTAACCAAATCTGTCTATGAAATAATTGTATGCAGCGTAGTTGTAGCTGTGTCAGTCCCAAAATATTAGAAAGCAGGTTAAGGTCCAGTGTTCCTACCACAGTGGGTGGTTTTTTGGGTCCTGTTAGCTCCAGGGGAATAAGTTTAATAAACACTGCTAACTTTTTTAAATGATCATCTGTTTTAAGAGACTGATAAATAGACTACAGAGAAATAATGTAATTGACTCTCTGCTTATGGACTGGCATAATACAGTTGTTTGAGCCCTAGACTGCTCCTGTTACAGGTATCAAACAGCTTTCGCTATGTATTAGCCAACTCTTATTTTACTTACATATTACATAATTTAAGTAACATGCTTTTTAGAAAATTTCTTTTCCTGTTGCAGAGATGGTGCCAAATGATGTTCAGTCTGAACTGAAACACTTGTATGTGGCACTTGGGGAGCTACTGCGACACTTCTGGTCCTGCTTTCCTGTTAATACACCATTCCTAGAAGAAAAGGTAAGAGGGATTGAGGATATAAACTTGCTAGTATAAATGTCAGTGTATCTTGTAACCATATGTGTATTCTGTAACGAGACAATTGAAAGTATTTTTATTCAAGCTGTAGTATCACATTACACTGCTCTATAGCCAAAATGCTTCTGAAATAAATGTAGTCAAACTTTACTAATTCTGGGTCACTGAGAATGAAAATGATGCTTAAAATTGTTGATTGGCTCTAGTTTTCAAGCTATGCTATTGGGTCAGTATATACGACCCTTGACTTGGGAATGGCGGAGGATAAGTGAATTATAAAGGGAAGGGATCTCAATTTAAACCAGAAATGACTAAAATATATCTTTGACTGGATCTATGAATAAATCTATGACTGGGTTTGGACAGTACTTGCTTTTTAGGCAAAACAATGAATGATGCAATCTGAAGCTGGTATTGCATCATACATGATAGGAATTGCATCATGTTATTCCTGGAAGATGCAATCATAACAAAGCTTACATCACTCTGCTGAACAAATTGCCCTATATCAGCTCTAGAAATCATACAGTGTCGTGCTCTCTTATTTGTC